TGCTAGGCCGCGCGGCTGTTCCGCACGGCTTGAGGGCCGCGGGCGCCTCTCTTGCGCTCCGGTTTCTGCTGTGGAAGCAGCGCCTTCGCACTGAGCCGGGCAGGCGTGTGCTTGTGGGCTTTGGGCTGAAGTTACCTTGTTTCGAAACCTGGAACTGCCGAAATTTATTAGTCATCTTTGCATCTCCTCCCCGCCCCGTGCCTGTGGGTCAGTCTACTACTGCAAAATCCGACGGAGGAGGGTGCTTAGGGTGTCTCCTCGCATCTTTTTGGAGTTTTGGGTTAAATTTAGAAGTGAGCTTTTTTAAGCGTGAAAACATGTTTGTCTCATTGAATAAATGTTCTTATTTTAACAGTCATTACTGGCTCTGACAGTGAACAAAGTGAAACAGTATGTTACTGTCACGTCTGACCTCCCAGTTACTGAAGGCTTCACGAATTGCAGGTAAGCTGATGTGTGACCTAGATTTCTGTTTGGTTGTTGGGTTTTTTTCCTGTGCTAATCGGGTTCTCAGAAGTTTCTTTAACATCAAGCACTGCAAGAGTAGTGAGGTGGTTGTTGATTCAGTGGCTGTGTAATGTTACGATGTCTCTGGTCTATTCTATCAGTACTGGGTAGCTCTGATTTGACCTCTTAAGCTTAGGAGGAGATTTCCTAGCAACAGAAAGGGTTAATACAGCACAGTTCCTAGCCATTGCAATTTACACCTACACAGTTTACACATTACAGTACTGTATAATGTGATTTTAGCAGATGGCATTATGGCAACATAATTAAATTCAAATTAAAAAATTCGTCCTTGATTTTGTGATGGGAATATAATTTTTGTAAGTAGCGTCTCTAATTAGGTTGTTGTGGCCACAGTTGTCTGGTGATTTGGGAGCTGGTCAGAGTTTTTCTTAAGATGCAGTTTGAAAATTTTGCCTGTCAAGTAAAATTCTTTTCTTCAAAAAAATCTTTCTTCAAAGGCCACCTTCTGCCAAGGTCAGTGTCTTCATTTCTTTGCTGTCGTTCTACATCTGCGCACTACAGCACACAGCCATCTAATAAGAGTGGAGCCCAGCCTCAGCAGTGGTATGCTCTGGACCCTGAACTGGAAGAGATGCTGATCCCTAGAAAACTTTCCATCAGCCCCTTAGAAAGCTGGCTGACAGTTAGATATTCCCTTCCTAAAGCAGAAGGCCTTAACGCTCAGGAAGAAGTGGGCCATGAACCTCTCCAGCGGTATGACTGTCCCCCGTCTGATGAGGGGACTCACGTGGAGGAAGGAGAGGGAACGCTTAGGGAAAAGCTTCAATGTAAGAACATCTTGAAGATTCGCAGAAGGAAAATGAATCGGCACAAGTACAAAAAGCTGCTAAAGCGAAGAAAGTTTATACGACGGAGGATAAAGGAAGGCCGCAAGAAGAAACGTCAGGTAAGCTCAGGACAGAGGGAACTTCTTGACACAAATGTGCCTCCTTCTCAAACTGCCCTCTGTTCAGGTATCGGATGGTATTTTTGGGTGGAATTGCTTTAGGAAAAAATAGCAGCAGCTTGGAGAGCCTTAATGAATTCAGTATGTACAACAGCTTTTTCTGTTTGATGTTTGACCCGTACAGCTTCAGAAGTTGTAATTTAGAATGTTTCTGTGGTTGTAAACATATGATAGTTACTAGGCATAATTTTTCTGGTGTGACTATCTTACAAATATATGTGGCTAATGGAGAAGAACTGTAGTGTTTGTATGAAAGATTAACTCACGTGTGTTTGGTGTATGAGGGAGATTGATTTAATCTTAACTGCTTTCCTGTCTTGCCAGCATCCTAAAGTGCTTCCTATTGTCTGTTTCTTTATAGAATCCTTTTACTTTGGGGTGAGGGCCTTCATTCAAAGCCTAGATGTTACCATCCCACACTATCTTTCAGTAGTCTGTTAGGTTTGCTGTGATACACTTTAGTTCATCCTCTGGTAATTTTCGCCTTGTGTAGGTGCAAATTTGGGTTAATTGTAATTCCATTTCTTCAGATTCATGGGAAGCAGTGTTGATGAGGAAATCCTCTTGATTTTCTTACAGTTTTTGTTTTCTAGCTCCTCAGTTTTCCTCACACAAGACTTTTAAAACAATGCTACTGAGTTCCTTGTGCATTTTAATGTATTTTCTGCAGCAAGGCTTAATAATTTTGACACTTAGAACAAGCTGCTTACTTAAAAGCATTTGTTTCTTTGGTGTCTGTTATACCTAGATTCTCCTTGGGACACATGAACGGTGGCTGAATACTTGAGTGTTGCTTCTGAGCCGTGTTACCACTTTTTCTTTCTTTCTTTTTATTTATTCTTTTTGGTTTTGTTTCAGATAAGGTTTGAGAAAGACTTGGAGCGCATCTGGAAAAGAGCGGGTTTGAAAAATCCTCCTGCAGGATGGCAAACGCCCAAGATATTTCTGAAAAGTTCAAAGCGATAAAAACACTTGTAATGGGTCAATCTGTACTTGTAATTAAAAAATATTTAAATATGCAGATTACTTTAAACCTTTTTCTGAGTGTGATGAAATTAGTAGGAGAAAACTTTCAGTCTTGGTGAGCGGTTCTTCAAGGACAAACCTGACAGCAATATGCTTTTCCTCCTCAAAAGAATGGTGTGAGCCCTTGTACAGTGACGTGGCACTGCTGTGTACAGTCCTGAGCTGTAGCCCCCAGCCCTGTGTCTGAGCAAAAGCGTCTTAAGCCTGCGCCTGAATTCTGAATTTGCTATTTAAGGTTAGACTGAATGGTGTAGTATAAGAACAATGAGCTGTGGGAGTTGGGATAGCTGAAAGAATTCTTCTGATTGTAACTCTGTAAGATAAGAGAATCACATTCTTTTGTAGTCTTGCTATAGAAGGGCTGGTGTCTACTAAGAGTTGTGGTAAAATAGGAATTGGATCAGAATTCCATAGAATATATCTGCAAAAGCTTTAATTTTCACCTACCTGAAGCTTTGGTGTGCATGTGCCTTAGATAGGCATTGCATGAGCATCATTAAAAGGTATATTAGTTTTTCTGTTCTGTTTTGTGCTAATAAAAGAGCTGTTACCTTTTTCTACAACTGACTTGTGTTACACTCAACATCCAGATATTGGTATCATAAAAGTTTAGAGCTGACTATTCACTAACTACAAGAACTGTTTTGTGCCTGCGTAATCCGGTGGTTTTACATGATTGAAGAGTCATGAAAGCTGTGAAAAATACAAATGTTTATTTTGAACCCTGGCAGAAGATTTTATATCTAGGTTCTGGTGTGTGTTCTGCTTTTGATTTTTCTGTTTAAGGCAGTTAACTTCTGTTCTGTGTGATGTAGTTCTTCCCAGTCTGTATTCTGGCAGATAGATGGGAACGACTGACCTCTGAGAGAAGGGAAGGAAAAAGAATGAGCTCCCTTGGGCTTGTCATTGAGCAGCACACAGGGAAGCTGCCATGAAAATACTAGGGGCAGGACACTTGACTGAACTGAAAGGGAAGAACAAAATAACCCGTGGAACTCATCGCTACAAGGCACAGTTCAGTCTCTGTGGGAAGGACGGGTGGCTCCACGCGCAGTGAACGTGTCTGAGGTGGTGTGTGTGGCTCTGCTGTTGTTGTCTCTAGATGGCAGTAAATTCAAAGCCGCTGAAGCTCCTTAGCCATTAATGTAGAAGCTACCTGGGTCTTTATGTTGGTATTTTAAGGAAAGGGTACACCTGCAGTTCAGAATTGATTAATTTCCCTGGAGAACTGTTGGCATTCTGAGAGCTGTATTGAAGTCCTGTAGAAACATGTGGTTAGCACGTTTTTATAGGTTTTTTCCCAAACCATATGTTAACAGTGGACAACTTTGATGAAAAATGTTAAAAAGATGTTCTTTCCATTTCATGCTTTAAATAGGCAGCTGTTGATTTTATCCAAGACCACTAGGACTCTGATTCGGCCTGTTGTCAGGATTTCAACAGAGAGGGGGGATGTCTAACCATGAGCCTTTAGAAACTCACCAAGAAAGGAAAGATTGAGTGTTCATTCTGGCTTACAGGTTTGTTAAATGAGGCGTTTCTAAAATACCAATATGCATTCCATGCACCAAGAGGTACAGATGAAAGGCTGGGGCCCGAGAGGATTAGTACCTTTGAAGTCAGGTCCGTGTCTTTCTTTTTCCTCAGCCACATCTTTTAAGAGCCTTTATGCCAGCATTGTTCTGTCAGTTGTAGAGCTGCTTTTACTAACTCCTAGTCCAGGCTTACTCTTTTTCTGTCTAGGGAGAGAGAGTCATCAATTTGCACATTTCCAGGAGATGGCTGGCTGCTGCTTTGGGATGCCTTTAGAATTACGTGGAGCAAAATACTTTATAAAAGACAGAAGTAGCATGCACGTTTGTCATTTGTTCTGCTCTTTTGTCAATGCTGTATCTCTGATTCAAGTTACAAGGTGGATTCTTTGAATTTCTGTTTGTATTAATCCTATAACTTACATCTTTGTTCTCTGTTGTAGTGTCTGAATCTACAAACTGCTCAAGTTTTTTATCCACTAGGACTTAGGTTGGTATTCTCTCTCTCTAGTTTGACATAAAACCTCTCTTGCTTTTGGGGACCATCATGATGGGGCTGTAGATCACAAACCTGTCCATTTTACTCTTGTCTGCTGGGGTCACGCAGGCAGAGAACTTTGCCGTTTTCCTGGATCAGCACCACCACCTTGTGCTCTGACTTGTTTTTACATCAGGATAGTAATGAGAAAAGAGAACTACTGAAAAGAGTGGGAATTGCAAAGCATAATTATTCAGTAACTTGTGATGTTCCAGTGCAAGTGAACTCTTGTACTATGATCATTTTATATTAGGGTACTTGTGTGGTGAACTGCAAGTCTCCACAAAGTAAAGTAACTTATTAAATAGTATGCTGTCTATAAGTAGTAGTCCAAATTGTAGTCTGCCTAGAGTATTCATTACTTTTACGTCTATTAGACATAATGTATGGAAGTCTGGAAATACTGTGTGATTTACAAAAGTATCTGCGAGCCATCCATGTCCATTACAGCCAGTCTTAGTCATACAGGTGCAATATTCCTTTCTATGGAAGTACCTCAAAGCGTGTCTCGGGATTTGTGTTTTCCTTGTGGCAGACACTGCACAGACTGTCTCACATAGCACTAATCGTATAATACATACCAGGGTTGTATTAACTTGCTGTAACTCTTGACTACAGGATGCTGCACCTATATTTCTGTAGGGGGAGCACGAGTACATAACATTCAATTCACAAAGCTTAATTGTGAGTTGCTGTTCCTCTCCAAAATACATGCATACCAATGTACCTGCAGACGTAGGAAATCTATATATTAATGTGCATATGTAGCTGTGGTAGCAAAAAAGAAAAGGCTCCAAACAGGAAAGGTTTGATGTGTATAATTCTGAAAATACTTAAGACTTGTACGTTTCTCCCTCATCTCATTTTCCTGTACTGAGAGGAAGTGGTTGAAAGTCAGCAGGAGTTTGCTAGATGAATTCATGCTTTTTATTGCAGCGACTGGAAAAATCCAGTGGGATGGTAATTTTATATTTGAAACTGCCTGACAGTCACTGGTCTGGAAAGGACACACAGAATTGGAATATGAAGCCATTTACACTCCTGCTTACATCCCTCTGCAGAAACAATGTGTACCTTTACACTAGTGAGCTAGTATCTATGTTAAATGGGACACTTTCATATTAAAAACTGTCAAAATACTACCTGGGTTAAGTTGGTGTATGTACGTTGGCTTCGGTAGCTCTGGCTTGGTCCTTCTCAAAATAGGAAGCCAGCTCTACTTCAGTGGGTGTGCACCCTAGTCCACCTATTCCAAAGTTAATAAACTGTGCTTGTTTACACTAGCTGAAAATTTGGCTGAAGTGATCTTACTGATCTTGCAAGCAGCACCTGTGGATAACTAAGATGACGTCTTTTCTTTCCACCATTCATGCCGTTCTGCTGTTGGCATTTCTGTTCTGACTGGGAAAACATCCTGGTTTGGGTTCGCTTGGGCTGAGCCTGGTCAGTTGTTCTCCAAAAACAACAGTGCTCAGTACTTTATTTGGAGAGTTACATTTGCAGAACTGAAATGGTTTTGGAAAGGGGGTTTTGCTTTTCCTG